CACATCAGCAGGTGCAAGTGGAGGAGTGGGGAATCAAACCCGGTTCTCCCAGATTAGAGTCCGCGCACTTAACCACTACACCAAACTGGCTCTGGCAGTTTGAGACCTTAGTGCTGTGTGACGGAGTGAGCTCCTATCTCTGGCCCCAGCTCCTGCCAGCCTAGCAGTTCGGAAGCAAGAAATGGCAAGTAGATAAATAAGTACCGCTTCGGTGGGAAGGTGACAGCGTTCCGTGCGCCTCGGCGTTTTAGTCATGCCGGCCACATGACCACGGAGAAGTCTTTGGATAGCGCTGGCTCTTTGCCTTGGAAATGGAGATGAGCACTGCCCCCTAGAGTCGGATTCGACCGGCTTTCGAGCCAGGGAAACCTTTACCTTTAGCCAAACTATGACTTTGGCGTGCCCAAATTCAATAGAAAGACGGCTGAGGAGTCTAGAATGAATGCTTTACTTACTAGCCACTCAACATGAATATAGAAATAAAACAAGGTTTGCGTCCGGTGGCACCTTTATGACTGATGAACGCTTACACCCAGAATTAAACTTTGTTGGTCTTAAAGGTGCCACCGGATTCAAACTTTGTTCTTTTGCGTCAGACCAACACGGCGACCCACCTGAATATAAAAATAAACTCTTCAAAGGCCCTCTGTGTTCCATCACGGCAGCTACAGAACAGCAGAGATTCTAAAAGCCAGTGATATTGGGGTTAGCTGGTGGGGTTAGTCCAGTTCCCACGAGTTAGCAGAGTGCTTTAAATAAAGCTACAAACGCAGCAGTGTTACTTTAGTAGGTTACTCAGCTTACCGAGCTACACAGAGCCACGTTGCAAGTTTGGAAGAGAAATACTTCTCTCTTTATCTGAGGAGTACACTTTTGGATAGGAAAGGGTAGGGACAGGATAGAGTACTAACTTACTAGTTAAGGATGGAAGCCGATGGGGAGAGGGCCATGCCGTCAGGCTTCCCAAGTACTTACCGTGATTCGGCGGGGGACACAGACGTCCTCGCAGGATCATTCCTTCGAGGACAACAGACGCGCCGCACCATGCCGTTGCCAGGAAGTGACACTCGGGCAATGGGGCTGGAAACTCGATTGTACCATCAAGTTTTCAGTCCCATTGCCAGAGCGTCACCCAGCATCACTTCCTGGCGACGACATAGTGCGTTACAGGGAGGAATGGTCCGGCCAGGGAGCACGTTTCCCCCGCCGGATCACGGTAGGTACTTGGGAACCCTACATGCTGTCCCTCTTGGTGTGTGCAGGGAGAGAATTCGTCATCAACTTGGTGCGTGCAGGGAGAGAGTTCGTCATCAACTGAGAGAGTGAACGGAAGGAAGGGAATTGTCCCTGGGAACACAATCTACAGTTCAAAGGGGACAATGGCAGAAAACACAGGGAAGAAAAGTCAGTGTTCCTATCTAGCTATCTAGTCTCTCTTGCCACAGTGTCTGGAGGCTCAGGCAGGGACATCGCGCCTGGAACTTACAACAAGTTAAGGCTTTCAAACTAGGGGAGGGGGCTCCTCTCGTCCCTTTCGGCACCCCTCAAAACCTGGCGCCCTAAGCGATTGCTCACACGTTTTTGTCCGAGCTCAGGATGGATGGCTCCAGAGCAAACTCACCCTGCAGGTGCATTTGGAATTCTGAGAGGGGGCAGCAAGTGCCATCCCAAAATGGCTGCCATTGGAGGCAGAGCCTAATCCAAAATGGCTTCTACAAGAGACAGAGTCAGACCAAATACTTCCCTCCTCGTGCCTTCCAGGAAGAAGGAAAGCCTGAAGGGGAAGGGGACCCACGCACTGACTAAGGAAAGACCAGATGCTTACCTGCCCTCTCGACCCTCCAGCGGAAAACCCTTTCCTCTGAACGAGGGCAGCCCATGACGACCCTTGCCTTACAACGGCCCCACCCACTTTCTGGAAAGCTTGGCGGGCACCCGGGCGCCCATGAGCACCACCTTGGGGAACCCTGGCCTAGGGTCTGTCGGGAAGGACGGGGAGATGAGAAGGGGAGGGCGTCTTTTTAAAACTTTGGGCAGGAATCCAAGCGCCAGGCCTGGGCCTTGGGGCAGACCGACAGCGATTCAGCCGGGAGCGCAACGGGGGCAGACGTACCGTGGGGATCGGAGCACCTAGGCGAAGTGACGCCCGGCCGGTGGCTGGAACGGATTCTTCGGGGCACCGGAGGGGGAGGTGGCTGCGGTTAAAAAAAAAAAAACACTGGTCAGCTGGGGACTGGGGGTTTGAGGAGCCCTGAAGCAGGAAACTGCCCACCACTGGCCCTGCTAACTCGTAAAGAGCCACACCGTGAGGTGGTCCTTTGCCCGCAAAGGATAGGGTACGGGATCACGGAGATGGGGCTGAAAGCCGTTTGCCCGACAGCCGGAAATTCTCCGCATCCCCCTCCCCACAGATCCATCTGTGCAATTTGGGGATAAGGGGCACTCAAAACTCTCCCTCTGCTTAATGACTGGGAGAGCCGACGTTTGGAGCTGAAGAGCTCTCTGCACACTCCCAGAGGCAAATGTGCCATTGCAGCAACCACAGTGAAGGACAGGCCCCCCGCCCATCCTGGGCTAGGGTTGCCAGACCCCCTGGTGAAGGTGGGGGTACCAGGCCCCACTGCCCCACCACCGGTCAGCTGGACTGTGGGGGGAAACATACCCTGAAAAAGAGGAAGATCCAGCAGACATGCAGTGACATAGCTATGTCACTGACCACGTGACCAGGAAGTGATGACATCACTTCCGGGTCACGTGGGCACTGACGCAGGCACCTAGCTGCACGTCGGCTGGGCCTCCCTCCTGCTCCCAGGAAGTCCCCCCCCACAATCCCTCGCAAGCTGCCAGGAGGGACCTGGCGAACCCATCCTGGGCAGTAGTGGGACGTTAGAAGGGCAGTGATGGGGGTTCAAGGGGAGGGAAAGATGGAGGAAGAAGAAGAAGAGATTGGATTTAGACCCCGCCCTTCAATACCCGAAGGAGTCTCAGAGCGGCTCACAATCTCCTTTCCCTTCCCCTCCCCACAACAGACACCCTGTGAGGCAGGTGGGGCTGAGAGAGCTCTTTCGAGGACTGCTCCTGAGAGAACAGCTCTGAGAGGACTTGTGACTGACCCAAGGTCACACCAGCAGGTGCAAGTGGAGGAGTGGGGAACCAAACCCGGTTCTCCCAGATTAGAGTCCACGCACTTAACCACTGCACCAAACACGCTACACAAGAAGAAGAAAGAAGAAGAAGAAAGAAGAAGAAGAGATTGGGTTTATACCCCGCCTTTCACTATCCAAAGTAATCTCAGAGGGGGTTACACTCTCGTTTCCCTTCCCCTCCCCACAACAGACACCCAATGAGGTAGGTGGGGCTGAGAGAGCTCTTTCGAGGACTGCGCCTGAGAGAACAGCTCTGAGAGGACTTGTGACTGACCCAAGGCCACACCAGCAGCTGCATGTGGAGGAGTGGGGCCTCAAACCCGGTTCTCCCAGATTAGAGTCCGCACTCCTGACCACTACACCAGACTGGCTCCTCCTTCCCATCTGCTCTCACCTCTTGCTCCTCCTCGTCCACCTCGCCTCTGCAGCCAGACAGATGCTCGGGATGGCGCAGTTTCTCCAGAAGGTCAAGGGTCAGGCTGCGCCTCAGGCCAGGCTGGGCCACGAACTGGTGCTGGGGAATGGGAATTGAGACGGGCAAAGTCACCTTCTCCCTCGTCGCATTGTGCGTAGTTCCCCCTGCTCACCCCTGTGTATGTCATCACTGGATGAAATGCCCTGGTTTTAATTCCAAAGCCATAACCAGGTGTGACTTACGAAGCTACCTAATACTAAATCAGGCCCTTGGCCATCAAAGTTGGTTTTGTCCACCCGGACTGGCAGCGGCTCTCCAGGGTCTCAGGCGGAGGTCTTTCCCATCACCTCCTGCCTGGTCCTTTTAACTGGAGATGCCGGGGATTGAACCTGGGACCTTCTGCATGCCAAGCAGAGGCTCTGCCACTGAGCCACGGCTCCTCCCCAACATCCTTTGTTTTTCTTGGTACAACATAGTTTAAGAACTACCTGCCCAAACCAAAGTGCGAAAGAACCAGCCAGGCTGTTACGCTACCTTGAAAGTGGTGCTGCGCAGGGAGAAGGGGATTCCAGTGCTAAAACTGCCCGGGAGCAGACCCTGAGTAGGGGGGAACGGCTTTGTTGTGGGGGTGGGGGGTAGTGGTCATTATTTCCTCTAAGCTGAGTTAGTGTGAGCTAGCTGACAGGTTTTTAGCCTCCGGCTCACACATTTTTGCCTTTGCTCGGGAAGGGACGGCTCCAGAGCAAACTGACTGATGCAGGAGCCAAATTGCCCGCTCACAACTTGAATGCCAGTCGCTCACAAAAGTAGAATTTGTGCTCACAAGACTCCACAGCTAAGAGGGAGCATGGGTGGCGGTACTCACAGTCAACATCTTGGAGGCGCCCGGGCGCTTCTTCGGGTTCTTGGTTAGCGTCATCTTGACAAAGTTGTGGAAGGCGGGCGTCCTGCAAAAAGGGCAGCACCCGAGGGGGAAGGGGACGTTCAGGGGTCTCGATCCAAGGCGTCAGTTAGTAGGACTTGGCAGTCTACTCATTGTGACCTCGCAGCAGTTGGTCAGAGGAGGCTGCTGCTGGATTGTTCTCTGGCGCCCCCAGCAGAGATGGCCAGCAAGTGTCATTGCAGCTACCAGGTCAACAAGTGGTAAGTGACAGAAATGGCTGGAAAGGCCCAAACCAGGGATTTCCTGCAGGAGTGCACAGGAGCAGAGCTCTGGCAGTAACGAGCCCAGGGGGCGAGCACATGCAACAAGCCCCACCCCCTGCTCCCAGCAGCCCTGGGCCACAAGGAGCAAGAAGCAGCCAGGTAAGTTGCACAGCCCTCCCCCCAGATAGCAATCCAAAGGAGTCCAGTGGCACCTTTAAGGCCAAGGTTTATTCAGGTACAAGCTCTCCCTCCTCTGTGAGGGCAGATCTACACGTCCCCCCCCCCCCCCAAGCCCAGCAATACACAACAGTACCCGTGGCCTTTTGAGTTTTATTCAGGTACAAGCTCTCCCTCCACTGTGAGGACAGATCTGCATGTCCCCCCCCCCCCATAGCCAGCAATCCAAAACAGTCCAGTGGAGCCTGAGCGGTGGGTGTTGCCTTCTGACACACTTCCGGTAAGGTCAGGGTGTGTTGCATATGCAAAAAGGTTATGCTAATGAGTTATGCTAATGAGCTCCTGCACCTCTTTTTCTACAAAATGACCCCTGGCCCAAACTATAGGGTTTCCAATCTCCAGGTCAGGCCTGTAGATCTCCCAGGCTTACAACGCATCTCCAGACAACAGAGATCAGTTCCTCTGGAGAAAATGGCCGCTTTGGAGGCCTGGGGGCATTAAGCCCCACCCTCCGCTCCCTGAACCCCTACTTTACCCAGACTCCGTCCCCAAAATTTCCAGGAACTTCCTAACCCAGAGCTGGCAACCCTTCCAAACTAGTCCCAGAAAGCCGGGTTTAGCTGGGCTTTTCAGTACTGATCATTTCTGCCAACTAATGGCACTAATCAGTCAGCATTTGTAAAAGCACGTCCGGTCTGCGGCTTGCTCACCCCTCCCATAACCCTGCAAGGTAGGTCAACAGGACTCCAATTTTATAGGTGGGAAAGAAATGAGGCTGGAGCCGGAGGTATAAGTGACCAGAGACTATGGGCTTTTCCACAGTCCCATTTTCCTCCCTTGCAAGTTCCTGTTTCTTGGAGGGGGGGCTGTGTTCCATGTGTATTTTGCTCCCTCTAGTGGTCCTTTCAATATTACATTGGTTTATGTCCTGCCTAAAACCCTGACATATACCAATGTAATATCGAACTGACCACTAGAGGGAGCAAAAGATGTGCAGAACAGACACCCCCCCTCTAAGAAACTGGAACTTGCAAGCAAGGGAAATGAGCATGTGGAAAAGCCCTACCCAGAGGGTGGGACTAGGAGCCCTCCTCTCCTGGGTTAAAAAGGCATCTAAGGCTGTACCCACACACCGATATCGCACTGTCGTTCTGAACGAGCAAGCACTTGCAACTGGACTGTCATGCCCACACAGAGAAATCCAGCAAAAATGATAATACAACATCCATCGCTTGTGTGGATACAAATGAACTTCCCAAGCGCTGCCTTGGAACACAAGTAGCTGCCAGAAGAGCTGTCTCCCCAATGCATGGGTGGATGGAGGGTGTCTAACAGGCCTGTAGCTATGGTGGGGCGCTGGGGGGCTCTGCCCCCTTTCCTAAAGGCCCAGCCCCACAAGAATTTCTCCTGTAAATGCTTTTCCCAGTCCCTTTAAAACATTTTTAAAGGTGTGCGCTCCTTTAAGCAGGGTGGGGTGCTGTCATTGACTAAGTCCCACACTGAGCAAGGGGGTTGGAGTAAGTGACCTCTAGGATCCCTTCTAACACTGTGTCAAGAAACTGGTCTCCTTTAAGAGAGTTTTTCTGCCTAAGAGTTGGCTTTCTTGACTATAGAAGTCACACACACACATACACACACCTGCTGGCTTGTTCTCAGAATTGTTGCTTAGGCAGGCAGACGTGATTAACTTGCAGCAGCTGGGAACTGTCATCTAAAGCTGTCGAAAGCTTGCACTTTGGAGTTCTATCCTGGTAACAGCTTCCTATTGGCTGAATGGCTTTCCTTTCTGCACCAAGAACGTCAGCCCCACCAGAAGAAGATTTGCCCCACAAGCCACAAAACCCCACCTATGGGCCTGGTGTCTAAGGATGGGTGGATAGGGTAGGCCGGTCACTCGACCAACAAGACTTACCACCGGGCTTTCTCCTTGAGCTTCGGGGGCTGGTAGCCGCTCTTCGTCATGAGAACCAGGACTCTGCAAAAGGACAGGGTGGGAGGAAATCGGACCGTGCCCGCAGAACTTCGTGATCGCAAGTGATTAATTCTGGACCAGACAATGCAGAATTCTGCAATCATTTAGCCCGGGTTTTAAAACCAGCCAAGATTTAAAACCACAATTTAGGACCTGCTAATGAATTAAGGAGCTGCGGTGGCTCAAGTGGTTAAGGCGCTGAGCTGCAGACCGGAAGGTCTGTAGTTCGGCAGTTCGAGACCCGAGTGCCGCGTGACGGAGTGAGCTCCCGTCTCTGACCCCAGCTCCTGCCAACCTAGCCGTTTGAAAGCAAGAAACTGCAAGTAGATAAATAGGCACCGCTTCAGTGGGAAGGTAACAGTGTTCCGTGCACCTCGGCATCTAGTCATGCCGGCCACATGACCACGGAAACATCTTCGGACAGCGCTGGCTCTTCGGCTTGGAAACGGAGATGAGCACCGCAACCCTAGAGTCGGATTCGACTGGCTTTCGAGCAAGGGGGAAACCTTTACCTTTACTAATGAATTAAACAAACCATCTTCAACTACCTCCTAAAGATCGAAAGTGAGGGGCCCAGGTGACCCTCCCTGGGGAGGTTGTTCCACAGTCGTGGGGCTGCCGCTGAAAAGGCCCTCTTCTCATGTGCCCCACAAAATGAGCCTCTTTGACTGACGGGACAATCTTAATTCCTGGCCAGGAACATACGGGAGAAGATGTTCTTTCAGAAACCCCAGACCCAAGCCATGTAGGGCTACAGATTGGGAAGTGCCTGGTTCGCATCTCTCCTCTGCTATGAACGCACTAGCTGGCCATAAACAATTAGTTTCAGTCCACTCCCCCATCTGTTGTACAGGGATGATAATGCTAACCTACTGAACAAGGCTGTTTGAAGGACCACAGCAGAATTCAGTACGTGCTGGGTATTATTATCTTTGCCGCCACGGGGACTAGAAATGTGCTTTTTAAAAATTGAACGAAAGCTGAGCTTATGAGGAAGTTGAATTCCGCATCTAGGGCTGCATTCCATGCTTTTCCGTCCTCCCTCCCCTAGCTGGAGTATCCCCCTCCTTGGCACGTTAAGAACACAAGAGAAGCCATGTTGGATCAGGCCAATGGCCCATCTAGTCCAACACTCTGTGTCACACAGTGGCCAAAAATACCAGGGGCCATCAGGAGGTCCACCAGCGGGGCCATGACACTAGAAGCCCTCCCACTGCTGCCCCCCACCCCCAAGCACCAGGAATACAGAGCATCCCAGCCCCAGACATAAGAACATAAGAGAAGCCATGTTGGATCAGGCCAATGGCCCATCCAGTCCAACACTCTTTGTCACACAGTGGCCAAAACCCAGGTGCCCTCAGGAGGTCCACCAGCGGGACCAGAACTCCAAAAGCCCTCCCAGTGTTGCCCCCCCCCCAAGCACCAAGAATACAGAGCATCACTTGCCCCAGACTGAGAGTTCCTAGGTATACCTTGTGGCGAATGGCCACTGATGGACTTCTGCTCCATATAAGAACATAAGAGAAGCCGATGTTGGATCAGGCCAGTGGCCCATCTAGTCCAGCACTCTGTGTCACACAGTGGCCAAAAATACCAGGGGCCATCAGGAGGTCCACCAGCGGGGCCATGACACTAGAAGCCCTCCCACTGCTGCCCCCCACCCCCAAGCACCAGGAATACAGAGCATCCCTCTCAGACACCCCTCCTCCCACACTCTCAGTCAGCAGCCAATCAAATCACACTTGTCACCCTCTATCACTCTTCTCATATTACTGCATTCAAACTAAACATTTAAAGGAACACACACACACACCCAAACATGGAATCATTACCACCTCCCACTGTTGCCCCCCCCCCAGCACGAAGAATACAGAGCATCACTGCCCCAGACAGAATATTCCATCTATATCTTCTGGCTAATAGCCACTGATGGACCTCTTCTCCATAGGTTTATCCAATCCCCTCTTGAAGCTGTCTCCATTCCTCGCAACCCAGGGAAAGGAAGAGACAGGAGCAGAGGGGAGACACTTTTACCTTTAAAACACTCTCTGTGTACCTAAACCTAATATATTTCTGCTGCCACCAGGAATTAAAAATTCCAAATCTCTCTCTTTTGGTAGAATGACCCAGGGTCTGGGCACTTTAGAGGACTATGTGGCCCTGAGGAAGGTCTATTCTGATTTCTGGGACAAGTTTAAACAAAAAAAATGATTTATTTAAAAAAGAACAAAATAGGTTTCTGGTTATTTTGAACTATTGCTGATGAAAGGAACTTGTACATACAACTGGCACACAGTCTCACAGAGACTCACAGTCTCACAGAGACTCACAGTCTCACAGAGACTCACAGTCTCACAGAGACTCACAGTCTCACAGAGACTCACAGTCTCACAGAGACTCACAGTCTCACAGAGACTCACAGTCTCACAGAGACTCACAGTCTCACAGAGACTCACAGTCTCACAGAGACTCACAGTCTCACAGAGACTCACAGTCTCACAGAGACTCACAGTCTCACAGAGACTCACAGTCACACAGTCACACAGTCTCACAGAGACTCTCTCTTCAAACGTCACACACAGAATCACTCTCATAGACACTCTCAGTCATCAGCCAATCACATCACACTTATCTCCCTCTATCACTCTTCTCATATTCCTGCAGTCAAACTAAACATTTAAAGAAACACACACACCAAAAATAGAATCATTACAGGCGGTTTCCAAAATAACTCACCGCATCGGGTGCATGTCAAACATGGGGGGCTGCAGCTCGGCCAGCTCGATGGCTGTGATCCCCACTGACCAGATGTCGCACAGCACGTTGTACCCTCCCTTCATCTCCACTGCTGCCACCTCCGGGGCCATCCTGGAACAGAGACGGAGGAACATGGGACATAGGTCCCATGCCTAAATGCACACATCTTAGAGACCACCTCCTCTCCCATGTCCCACTACAGCAGGCCCGTAGCCAGGATTTTGTGGCTTTTGGGGGAATTTTTCCCCCGGTGGGGCGGGAGT